TTCTTTTTGCTTATGTGGTGCTGAGGAATGGAACCCAGGGCCTCAGGCATGCAAGGCAAGCACTCTACCACTGAGCCACCTTCCCAGCCCCTTTTCTTTGTGTGATACCTGGGTTTGAACTCATGGCCTTGCGCTTTCCAGGCCAGGTCTGGAGCCCTGGAGTCCCGCCCCCAGCTGATTGAAGCCGGGGAAGACTGCAGAGTGATGGCTTTTTAAATTTATTTTTTAATTTATGTTTGTTTTTATTTTTTTGGTCGGTCGTGGGGCTTGAACTCTGGGCCTGGGTGCTGTCCCTCCCTCTTCAACTCAAGGTGAGCGCTCTACCACTTTGAGTCACAGTGCTACTTCCAGTTTACTGGTGGTTCATTGGAGATAAGAGTCTCACAGACTTTGAATCAGGATCCTCAGATCTCAGCCTCCTGAGTAGCTAGGATTTACAGGCGTGAGCTGCCGGTGTCTGGCTTGTGTTGACTTCGAATAGCGATCACACACACACACACACACACACCCGGGACCCTGGCACAGCTTGAACGGCCCCCTTGGCCTTCCTGTCCCCCAGGAACCAGCCCCTGTCCGCCTATATGGTGCTGCTGGGCTCCATCTCCTCCTACCCAGAGGCCGGCGAGGCGGGCGAGCTGCGGGCCGTGGCGCAGATCTTCAGGCACCCGAGCTACTCGGATGAGGAGCACAGCATGGGTGACATCGCACTGCTGCGGCTGGCCTCTCCCGTCTCCTTCAGTGACCTCATCCTTCCGGTCTGTCTCCCCAAGCCCGGAGACCCCCTGGATCCTGGCATCACGTGTTGGGTCACCGGCTGGGGGTACACCTCTCCGACTCAGAGTAAGGAGGCTCAGAGCCGGGGGTGGGGCACAGGAGGTGGGGGGCTCAGCAGAAGCAGCTGGTCAGCTGTGGAACCCATGCACGAAGAATGGCCACCAGAGGGCGTCCACGAGTCCCCGGCCAGGCCCACCCCTCTGGGCCAGCGTGCGCCTCCGCCACCCCGGTGGCCACGGGTCGCACTGAATGGCCTCCATTCTCCCTGGGCCCTGGTTTCTCGCTGAGATCTTCAGTGCCCCACGTGCTGGGTTGATGCAAGGGTCTTCTGAGGTGTTCTGTCCCTTTCTAACAAGGCTGGGAGCTTATCCACCTTCTTTAGTGTCTTGTGCTAATGTACTGGGGCTCGTGATGAGTGACCTCAAAAGGGCCGGCTCAGAGCCACAGCCGTGAGTTTGTTGTTGTTCAGGGGGTCAGCAGCCTGAGGTGAAGGGCTGTCGGGGCCTCTTGGCTCCCGCTGGGACCGCTCAGCGTCTGACCTCTCCCAGCCTCACTCAGCCTCTCCCCCACCCCAGGCTGTCCCGTCCGTCCGTCCGTCTGTCCATCCATCCACCCATCCACCTGCGCTTCTTACCCTCCCCTGTGTGTTTTGGTGCCCGTGGAGGGCTTGAACTCAGGGTCTCGTGTTCTCCCTGAGCTTTTTTCTGCACAAGACCAGCACTCTTATCACTTGAGCCACAGCTCCACTACTGGCTTTTTGCTGGTTAATTGGAGATGAGTCTCTTGGGTTTGTCTGCTGAGGCTACCTTTGAACTGTGATCCTCAGATCTCAGCCTCCTTAGTACCTGGAATTACAGGCGTGAGCACTTGTGCCCAGCTGACTCATCTTAAGTGACTGATAGTATCCACAGAGCCTCTGTTTCTTTCTCTTAATTTTTCTTGATATTTGTTTATTTAGGAATTTAGTGCTGGTCCTGGGGCTTGGACTCAGGGTCTAGGTGCTGTCCCCAAGCTTTTTTTTTTTTTTTAATCACTCTCAAAGCTCTCATTTTATTGTTTGAGCTGTAGCTCGACTTCTAGTTTTTTGATGCTTAGAGGTAAAAGTCTTATAGGTTTTCCTGCCCATACTGTCTTCAAACTGTGATCCTCAGATCTCAGCCTCCTGAGTAGCTGACGGGTGTGAGCCTTCATAAAAAGTGTGTGTGTGTGTGCGCACGCACAGGCACACACACCATTACCAGGGCTTGAACCCAGGTCCTGGGTGCTGTCCCTCAGGTTTGCCACTCAGGCTGATGAGCCCCAGCTTTTTGGTGGTGAGGCCCTCAGGCCACCACACCTATGCATGCCAGGCAGGGCGGGCCGGGCCGGGGCAGGAGAGAGCTTGCTTATGAATGTGAAGTCCATGGAGGTGGCAGCTGTGTCCCCCTGGCTGAGCTGGGCTCTCCCGTCCCCCAGGTCTCCGGCCCCCCTTCACCCTTCAGGAGGTGGAGCTTCCCCTCATCGCCCGGCAGACCTGTGAGGCCTACTACCAGGGGAACCCGGAGTCCGGCCAGGGGTCCCTCATCCTGGAGGACATGTTGTGTGCTGGCTTCGAGGAAGGCCAGAAGGACTCCTGCTACGTGAGCAAGCCGGGCCCGCCCCCCCGGGGCCCCCAGTCCACAGGCTGTCCCTCCCGCCCCCCCTGTGTCCCCTCAGCCCCCAGTCCACAGGCTGTCCCTCCCCCTCCCCATCACCCCTGGAGATCTTCCAGGACAGAAGACATGTTTATTTGTTGTTTCTTTTCTCTTTGTGGCTGTCCTAGGGTGGGACTCAGGGCCTGGGTGCTCTCTCTGAGCTCTTTGGCTCCAGGCTAGTGTCCCCCCCCCCACGTGAATCACAGCTCTACAGCTGCCTGCTTATTTTGCTGGGTAATTATTTGAGAGAAGAGTTTCACAGAATTTCCTGTCTAGGCCGGCTTTGAACCGTGATCCTCAGATCTCAGCCTCCTGAGTCGCTAGGATGACAGATGTGAGCCACCACATCTGGCTTCTTTTATTTTTTTATACATCTATACACAAGGGTCAATGCAAAAAAAGAAGTTTCCAGGGTAGAGCCCTTGCCTAGGCCTTTTGAAGGCCCCAAGATCCATCCCCAGCATCTCAAAAAAAAAAAAAAAATCAGGACCTGCGGTTTTGTCCTGGATCTTATCTCTACGCTGAAAGCTTTCTTTTAAGAATCTTTAAAAAAAAAATGTCCTCCCACAGGAACTTCAGAGCCTTTGATCACGTTTCCAGCAGTCAGGGCCTACCCTTCAACCGCTCTTGTAAACCCTCTTTATTGTGTTATCTCAAAGAAGAGATTTATTAGATTAAAAAAGGCACCAGCAACACCAACAACACAGACACTCTCCCCTGAGTGCTAACTCTTCTTTTTTTATCGGTTGTGGAACTCAGTGCCTGGCGCTGTCCCTCAGCTCTTCAGCTCAAGGCGAGCGCTCTACCACTTGAGCTACAGCGCCACTTCCGGTTTTCTGGTGGCTTATTGGAGATAGGAGTCTCACGGACTTTCCCGCCCTGGCTGGCTTTGAACCGCGATCCTCAGATCTCAGCCTCCTGAGCAGCTGGGATTACAGGCGTGCGCCCCAGGCAGCTGGCAGATGTTTTCATTTTGTTTTACAGAACAGATTGTGCACACCACAGTACTTGTTCTATGTGCTAGGCATTCCCCTTTTCCCCAGACCTTTGCCACCTTCCAGAAACTCCCATCGATTGCTCTCCCTTCTAGCCCTGGGCGGGACAGTACCAAAGAGGTGAAGGGAGGTGGTGGGGGTGGGGGAAGTCCGTCTCACAGGGAGGCCGGCCGGCCCAGCAGCCTCTACCTCCAGATCTCTCCGTCTCCGCAGGGCGACTCCGGAGGCCCGTTGGTGTGTGATGTGGGCGTGTGGGTGCAGGTAGGGGTGGTGAGCTGGGGGTCCGAGTGTGCCCTGCCCAGGAGGCCAGGAGTTTACACCAACGTCAGCTACTACACGGCGTGGATTGCCAGCGTCCAGAACTCAGCCCCAGGCAGGAGCCGCTCCTCGCCCTCCTCCAGACCGCTGTTCCTGGGGTCCGCCGGTGCTGCCCTCATCTCCCTGTGGCTTCTCTAATGGGTACCATTATCTCAGCCCCCACACTTTGAACTGGTGGTGTCTCCCAACCCCTGCCAGTTGCAGGCGCTCTGGCCGAGGCCCCTTCCTGGGGGCCTTTGTGGGCAGCCACTTGCTGTCCTCCGTCCTCCACCCTCCACACAGATTCCTCTTCAGACTCTTGGGGACCCCTCAGCTAACCCCCGGGCTCTTATTTGTCTCCTCTGGGCCCTGGTCACCCTTCACCCAGGACGGAGCCGCAGGGCGCGGCCTCCACTCCGGGCACTTGGCTGGTTTCTGGGACTCCTGGGCTGGGTGGATCCGTTTCACTGAAGCAATAAAGCCTGGACCTGCGCACTTCCTCCTCTGCCAACTCGCCACAGCTTTCAACAGGGGTCCCCCGAGACACCTCGCCCACACAGGCTCACCCAGGGCTCCCCTTGTTCTCAGAACGGGAGGCCCGCCCACTCTCCCGGGAAGCCCGGTTGCTAGGCCCATGGAGCCGCCTGTGAACGTACCCTGGCGCCTGGGCCCCTACAGGACCGGCGGAGGGGACCACGGAGGGTGGGAGTGGATCCCAGTGGTGCGGGCAGGCTGGGGCTCAATCCCAGGATCTCCTGGGCAGAGAGTTAGGGTCGGTCTCAGTGTCCTGAGGTTCTGATGCCAACCCCAGAGCTGTGGCAGAGCAGGAGTCGGGCCTGCGCCCACCTCAGCTGAGCAGGGACGACCCCAGGTTCCATCCTGAGTGTGAGTGAGTGTGGCCCTGGCTGGGCCGTTCTCAGCTGCTCTTTACTTCCTCTCCCCAGTCCTTCAATTCCCAGCCTTCTCCCCAAGCAATAAAGTTTGTTAAAAGAGTTTCAGCCCTCAAGTTCCAACTCAGTAAACTGGGTGTGGTGGGGCACACCTATAATCCCAGCACTCGGGAAGCTGAAGGGAGCTGAGCTTTGAGTTCAAGGTTAGCGTGGGCTGCGTCGTCTGTTCCAGGCCGGGTGGGGTCCATGCAGCAAGACCTTGCCTCAAAAAGGAAAGAAAGGCTGGGAAGGTGGCTCAGTGGTAGAGCGCTTGCCTAGCATGCATGAGGCCCTGGGTTCGATTCCTCAGCACCACATACTCAGAAAAAGCTGGAAGTGGCACTGTAGCTCAAGTGGTAGGGCACTATCCTTGAGCTGAAGAGCTGAGGGACAGTGCCCAGGCCCAGAGTTCAAGCCCACCACTGACAAAAAGAAAATAAAATCATCTCTCAATTGCTCCTCTTTCCTCAATGTTTCATTCTTCTGCTTTCATACTTGAATACATATTGACCATATTTACCCCTCTACCACCCCATGCACGGATGCCCCCCAGCAGCCGGGTTGTCCCCCTGTTTGCATTTGTAAAGTGTATATTAATTGTACAAAGGGTATTTCTCAGATGCATATCTTATACTTTATTCAGATTAACTTTCTCTTTGGCTCTCTGGTCCCTTCACTCTGCCCCCTATTATTTAACAGTGTTGAATTTCCTTAGGCCATCTTTGTTGATTGAACTCAGGGCCTGGGCACTGTCCCTCAGCTCTTCAGCTCAAGACTAGCACTCTACCACTTGAGCCACTGTACCACTTCCGGTTTTCTGGTGGTCTGTTGGAGATGAGTCTCTTGGCCTTTCTCACCTGAGTTGGCTTTGAACCATGATCCTCAGATCTCAGCCTCCTGAGTAGCTAGGATGACAGGCGTGAGCCCCTGGCACCCGGCAGATGCAGTGTATTTTGATATGATTCATTCTCGGTCACTCTCTTCCCTGCTCCCTTGTACCTCCCCCCCAAACAGTCCACGTTGTTTTGTAACAGGACCTCAAATCAATGCCAATCTGGGCTGCAATCCTCCCAACTGCGCTGCCCGCTCAGCTGGGATGCCAGGTGTGTGCTGCCACACCTAGCTTTTATTAGTTGAGATGAGGGTATTGTGACCTATTGCAGCCCTGAACTGGGACCCTCCTGACCTTTACCTCTTGAGGAGCTGGGAGACAGAGGCTTAGCTGAAGGTATTGCTTTTCTAAAGACATTTCAGAGTCTCTTCCTTCAAGGCCTGTAATTTCGGCACTCTGGGAGGCCAGAGAACCTCGGCTCTGGGCCAGCATGGGTTACTTCGCAAGACGCCGTGTCCAAACACATAATCCCTATGGAGGATGGTGAAGAGAGCTGGGTCTGCGGCCAGGTGCAGCCTGAGCAGAAAGGCTCCAGCCAGCTGTGGGCCCGGGGAGGCCAGGCGGGGAGAAGGCTCAGGGCCGGGGCTGCTCTGCGCCGCCTGTCCTGCAGAGGGCGCCCGCCGCCACCGCCTGCCTTGCACCGCCCGACCTGCAGAGGGCGCCCGCAGTTACCGTCGCCACGCACCGCCC